TGTCTTATGTTTCACAGATAGAAACACCATTTGTATTGCTAGATTTGTCGAAATTGAGACAGATCAATGTTGATATTGAAGACAACAGTGCTTGGGTTCAAGCTGGTGCTACACTTGGTGAGGTTTACTACAGGTTAGTTATCTAAACTAGGGTTGTTTCAAAAGCTCTATACGTTTGTGCATTTATAAAATAAATTTAATTTTGGGTATTATGAAGTTAAAATATTATGGTATTGTATATTCCAATTTTAAGTAATTTTTTATGGAGCTTTAGTCTAATAACATCAAAGTTGAGATATTTCTTGCCTCACACGGAACTTAACAACTAGAAACAGAAAATTTTGATATTACGTAGATTGTTAAATAACTTTTACCAATATTATATAAATAGGTAATTACGTAGATTGTTGGTTATGTAGTTTTTCTGACCTAATGATGATTGTTGGTAATTATGTAGTTTTGAACTATTTTCCAAAATTATATCATTAAAGTATGTTTGAATGCCAACTGATCAGTGAACTAAAATTCTTACAAAACAATCAAGAAAATGTAGTTTATGCCACGTTAATTATATAGTGTTTGTAAATATCATAAATATTAAATTTTCAGATTTATTTATCCAAAGCTAAAACCAGTGCAATAAAATTTCAGATTTGTTTTCACTATTGAATATTCTGGTTTAATTGCAGAATTGCAGAGAAGAGCAAGATCCATGGGTTCCCAGCAGGTTTGTGTTCAACCGTAGGCGTAGGCGGATACATAACAGGAGGTGGATACGGTGCCTTGATGAGGAAGTATGGTCTTGCTGCTGATAATGTTCTAGACGCAAAGATCGTTGATGCAAATGGTAAATTACTCAACAGAAGCTCGATGAGTGAGGATATGTTTTGGGCGATTAGAGGAGGCGGTGGAGGGAGTTTTGGAATAATTCTAGCATGGAAGCTAAAGCTTGTTCCTGTTCCTGAAACCCTAACAACCTTCAGCGTTACCAAAACACTAGAACAAGACCCTGACTTCAAGACTCTTTCTAAGTGGCAGCGAGTTGCTGACAAGCTTGTTGAAGAGCTCTTCATACGAGTGGTAATCAGAGCCAGTGGAAACAATACAGTGGCAACATCATACAGAGGTCAGTTTCTTGGCGGAAAAGAAACTTTGATTGAGATCATGAAGAAGGATTTTCCGGAGTTAGGGCTAACTCAGAAGGATTGTACCGAAATGAGGTGGATCGAATCCATTCTTTTCTATGGTGAATTTCCAGCTGGTACTCCTATTGAAGATTTGATTCAAGTGAAATCACCTTTTCTAAATCCGTCCTTCAAATCAAAGGGAGATATAGTGAAGAAACCTATTCCTGCTTCAGCTCTGAAAGGAGTTTTCAAGAGAATGGTTCAACAAGAGCCTGGTACGTTTCTTGCTTTTGCTCCTTATGGTGGAATGATGGCTAAAATCTCTGAATCTGAGATCCCTTTCCCGCATAGACGTGGTACCATCTTCAAGATTCTCTATAATGTAGACACTGGGAAGAGACCTAGCAGCCAAATTAAATGGATCAGAGAGCTGCACAGTTTCATGACGCCTTATGTCTCAAGCAATCCAAGACAAGCATATGTGAACTACAGAGACCTAGACCTGGGACAGAACACGAAAAACAAGACATCTAACTTTAAAAATGCTCAAATATGGGGATCTAAGTATTTCAAAGGAAATTTTGAAAGATTGGTGAGGATTAAATCAAAGGTTGATCCATATAATATCTTCAGACACGAACAGAGCATCCCAACTCTGCCGGTTCAAAGCTAAACTCATGATACCAACCACTACTATGTAAAATACGAATAAAGGTATATTGATTCTCTAGCCTTAAGAACATGCAATAAACATTATAATTTTTTTTTTAAAAAAAAACGAGCAATGGTTCTTCTGTATTTCAGAAACTGTTCTAGCTGATAATAAAATGGCGTCCATGTGCTATTTTTTTTTCACCCTCAACGATACTAATTCAGTGACCTATATGATATCTTTGAATCCATGGAACACATTTAAAAACTTTCATGCAAAAAGAAAAAGATAATTGCATAAATAAATTTAAGACATTGTAATAGTAGTTTAGAATGAAATCACCTCCACAGAGTTGTGTCGTTATCTATAAAATTCTGAAAGTATTTACTCAGAATCTGACTTCACATCGAACAACAAAGAAAGGGGGGAGAAGGACGTAAAGTCTCATACATGTCTGAACGAAGATCTGTGGTAGGTCGCAAACACCATGTAATAAACAAAATCTTGTAGTCGATTGACTCTTCCAATTCTATGTTTAAATGTTTGATGTGCTTCTGTTGATTCGTGGAGAAACCACTCGTGCTCTCTGTGAAGTAATATGATTTGCAATTGGTTGTAACATTTGTAGATTTATAAATCTGCCGTTTGCAGACAACATATATAAAATATAAATAATCATTTGATTTCTAGACATGATTTTGTTTCATTTTCTACTTGTTTTGTTATTGAACTTAGTTTATGTTTGGTCTAATTAGCACCAAATGTGATTGATTGAATGAAAAGCCTACATAAATTTTATTTTAACATTTTTGCGGGAAATTGAATTCAATAGTTAACTAGTTGACGCGCAAAATGCCTGCACTGTGTGAACTAGCAAATTCACATAAAATTCTTCGCCTATTATATCTTTCGTTTTGGTATTCAGTTTCTTGTCCTGTCCTTTGGCTATATATAAAAAGCCTTCTAATAAGTTAGCAATAACGTGTAGCAAAAGGTGAAGTCTCAATTGTTCTGCATCATAAACCGGAAGGATCAAATAGGTATGGTTATATTGCTAACCTATGTGTTGCCAAATCGGCACGCCGCCAGGGTATTGCTTGCAACATGTTACGTTTCGCTGTCGAATCAGCCAGATTAAGGGTCCGACTGGTTTCCCCGCTACCACCCGCAAACGCAGCTTTTGCGGTTGATGGCGGTTGCTAGCGTTTTGCAACAATCACAAAAACCACTACAAATCGCTTCAAACCGCTCCCAACCTCTTAAAATCAAAAGCTGGTTTCAGCTAGCGTTTGCGTTTGCGGGCGATTGCGGGTGGGTAAAAAACTATTTTTTTA